GGGACACACAGGATACCCTGCAACTGATGCAACTTAGCCCAGCCAACCCCAGGGCTGGGGCTGACCTCTAACTCTCAGGGTCCCTCGGGGTGGCCACCCAACTCCCTTGATTTCTGACTCCCTAACCGGCCCCCATCCGACCCACACTTTGTGTTTACTGTTGTTTCAGAGGCCCGTGAATGATGGACGTTGAGTAAGGAAGACCGAGGCAGAAGTGATGTGTTGGAATTGTGGTGCTGGCACAGGCTGCTACAAGAAAAAAACAAACCTGTCTCGGAAGAAGTACAGCCAGAACGCTCCTCAGAGGCAAGGTTGTGTTTTGTGGACTTTGGACATGTTGTCAGGAGCCACCAGGCCCTGGAGAAGGTACCATCCTTGGTGATTAAACGCTGAAAACAGACAGCAAGTGAGCTGCCGTCACGTTGACCGACTCCTGGCAACCTTCCCCAGCCCAGAGCAGAAGGCTGCCCAGCCGCGGGAACCTCACCAGGGCCAGCAAGCCCGAGCCCGTTCCTGCAGCTGCTGTGCTACTCCTCCTGCCCCAGGGCCTCCTCCTCGCCTTGGCCTCTCCTGGCCCAGCGTCACGCTGTCCTGTAGGCATGGTGCAGAGCAAGCTAGGGGACATGTCCTCTTGCGATCCGTAGGTGTCATGGGCAGTCGGTTGCCAGGCCTTATCTGCCCACCATGGCTGTATGTGGAACACCGGCGGCCTAGCTCCCAGCAGCACAGCAACATGTAAGCCGCCACAGCGCAACGGACAGACGGGTGGTAGAAACATTTAACGCAGAAATGAAATAGTAATAACAACTGCGTCTCGGAGGGACTTCCTGACGAGGCAGCTAGAGCACAGAGGTTAAAAGCCCGGGCTACCAAAGTTCAGTTCCCAGCTCAGCCACTTAACTGGCTCCGTGAACGTAGCCTCTTCGTTCCTCAGTTTCCCCATCTGTAAAATGGAGGGAACAACAGGGCCAGACTCTTCAGGGATAGCAGAAGTTAATCCTGATATCGCTGGAGAATAGTACGTGATACGCTTTAGCTGGTATCAAGCTTTGCTTTTTTGTTTTCTTTTAAAGTAAATGTCAATTTTTAATGTGTCATCTACATAAAGGTGCACAAATCACAAGGTCAGGATTCTGTGAATGTCCGCAGGGCGAGACACGGGGTACCAGCTCCCAGGTCACTGCACAGAGCCCCTCTCAGAGGGCTACCCAGACCCTGACTCCCCACACCTGGGTCACCCGGCCGAGCGCCCACCCTGTCCCGCAGGGAGGGTCGCCGTGAGTCTGACTCAACCAGTGGCAGTGAGAGTGACGGACATGCACTCCTGACCAGCAGAGGCGGAGCCCAAGGCCTCAGGCTGCATGTGGGGCTCCCGTCGTCTGCAGAAATGGACACACAAGCACCTCTGGCCTCAGAGGGCCATCACCAGGTTGCCCAAACCTGTCTGTTGACAAGCCCCACCTGGGCCACTCACCAAGAGAACCCAGAAAACCTAGCTGGGGGAATTGGGTGGGAAGTTATAGAAAAGTCCGCTGCACTTTGTAATCACTGGCATCCCCATGCAAGCCAAGGGCTCCAGCTCATAGCTTCCCAACCGGATTGGGTCTACCACCCCTTTTCAGAGGGAAGAAAGACTCCGTGCCATGCTGGTCCTTGCAAACTTGTGTACCATTGCCCATACTTCAGGCTAGAGTGTCGGCACCCGCGTCTCAGCCCCTTGGGCTGTTCCGGAGCCCTGGTGCTGTATGGGTGACAGGGTGGGCTGCTAACTGCCCAGGTCAGCAGGTCGAAACCACTGGACACTCTGAGGGAGAAAGACGGACTTCCTCCTCCTGTAAGAGTTGGTCTCGAGACTCACAGGGGCAGTGTTACCCTGTCCGACAGGGTGGCTGTGAGTCAGAATCCACGCAGGCAGCGTGGTTGCTTGTTCTAATTCCAATGCCCCCCAGGGGGCGGTGTCACCCACTTTGGGAAACACTGCTCCGAGATGCTCAGGGACCAGGCAGCACAGGGTAGTGTCCTTGAACTTGTGGCAGAGGTCAAGGCCCTTCTCCCTGGAGGTCTCAGAACAGGGCAGGAAGAAGTGCCCTTCCCCCAACCCCTGCCCCGCTCCCTGAGGGCTGTGTGAGTCGGTGGGGTGCTGCCAGTTCACCCAGGCACGGGTACCCTGAGCATCTTACTCCAATGCTCGGGATGGTGGTGGTCGTGGTGTGGTTCCTCCTTCAACTCACTGCCACTGAGGGATCCTATGGGACAGAGTAGAACCATCCTGTGGGTTTCTGAGACTGTGAAGCTTTACAGGAGTAGAAAGCCTCATCTTTCTCCCGCAAAGTGGCTGTGGGTTTGAATTGCCAACCTTGTGGTGAGCAGCCAGGCGGCGTTTTACCCACCACACCACCGTGGGAGAGTCCCTGGAATGTAACACCAGAAAGAGCTTCCTGGGCTGTGGCTGGACTCTCCACTGCCCAGCTATCCAGTGGGTGACGTGACACGGTGGGGAGGGGGCACTGTGCCAGGGTGGCCCCTGCTGGGGAGACCAACTCAGGGACACACACACTGCCCAGGGTGGCCACACTGCTTTGATGACTGAAACTTTCGGAGTGAACAGCTGCTGCTGCCTGGCTTCTCTGGAGTGCCCCACCATCACTGTGGGGGCCGGCCAGCTTTCCAGGGCTCTGTGCAGGCCTGCCGGGGGTGGGGGTGGAGGGGTGGGGGGTGCGGGTGTTAGATGGCAAAGGTGCCCTGGCTCTATTTGATCAAGACGATCAAATGCCCATTCCGTCTCCAGGCCAGCAGGTGGGTCTGAGCAGGTTTCCGTAGCAAGGAGCTGGGGTTCTTTGCTGTTGGGGCTCCATCTTCCCCACCACACGTCCCCGCCCTCTCCAGGAAGAGACAGGCTCGCCCTCAGCACTGGGTGCAGCAAGGGAGCAGCGTGTGCTGGGTTCTGCGGCCTGCCCATGATGGCTGCTGACGGACCTCTGGGTCCTGTGGAAGGAGCTCACCAGGCCTTTCTTCCTGGTCTACCTCGCTCTAGAAGGCCCACTGAAACCTGGTAGGTGAGCATCCTGCCAACACAGGAGCCTTCAGGTGGGGGCTGCAAGGAGGACGCTGGCCTGGGAGGGAGGGGGGGAGAGTTCTACCTCTAAAGCACCAGCACCCGCTCCCTGCAGTCGGACCAT